CGCTCTTCTGAGTCTCTGCCTTCAGCTTCACTCCCCAAGTTGGTTTGTGTCTCCCAGAGACCGGATCCCTTCTCACTGGCATGCGAAAGGTACGCGTTTCCTGTCCTAGCCACACCGACTTCCCAGCCACAAGACTGTGCCTGCCTCCTCGGAATCAACCCTCAGTCCCTCCGAACCCGTCCACACTGGACCTTTCTAACTCCGACTCAGTGCAGACACTGCCAGCAGACACGTTCTGCCATCGGGCGCTGAAACAAGTGTCCCCCAAAACAAACGGCTGCCTCTTCCAGGCAGCGCTTTCTCTCCTTCAGCCCCTGCACACGGCCTGCGACAAGCACTGCCCGGACTCTTCCCCATGGCCTTCCTTGAGCCACCGTTAACTTCCCCAGCCCTTCAGCAGCATTGTCCTGCCGAGCCACCAGCAACTCCTGCGACTCCTTTCCCCTGAATCTTCCCTGGTCCCTCGGGCAGATTCCTAGACAGTCCCCTTCCCGGCACACAGACAGGAGACATTTTCCTCCCCTTTGCAGCTCTCCGGACTGGCCCAGCACACCCAGGGGTAGGAGCCGTTCCCGTATCTCTGGGATCTATGCCAGTCACAGCATCCCTCTCCCTAGCAGACACAAACCTTGGGCCACCCCTGTCTGGGCCTTAGCTGTATCCACACCCAGCTCGGGGCCAGCAGCACTGCTCTCCGCCATCACCGGCGGAGGGGCGCCTTCCTCAGGCAGGACTGGGAAGAAACCCTTTCCCACACAGCAGACAGCGAGAGACCGGCTCTCCTTTGTCCCAGCACGCCTGGCTGAGCTCAGGCCCCCACTAGCGCCGGAGACAGCCTCTTTCACGGTCGCCCTGCCAGTGCCCACACCCCAGGGCTGCCCGCACTGGTCCCTCCCAACTCACTCCCCACTTGTGCACGCTCAGACTCCGACATCTCCAGCCAACGACCCATCGTCCTCCAGAACTTTGTCTTGTTCCTGAGGAATTTACTGCAGCCTGCTCCAGAGGGGCATGGTCCCGCCCCCTCGGTTCTCCCTGCCCTGCTTCTGACCCAGCCTCACCGCTGAGGCGTCAGAACCCAGACACGGCTGTCTGCTGCAAGCAGCCCACTTGTGCACGCTCAGACTCCGACATCTCCAGCCAACGACCCATCGTCCTCCAGAACTTTGTCTTGTTCCTGAGGAATTTACTGCAGCCTGCTCCAGAGGGGCATGGTCCCGCCCCCTCGGTTCTCCCTGCCCTGCTTCTGACCCAGCCTCACCGCTGAGGCGTCAGAACCCAGACACGGCTGTCTGCTGCAAGCAGACACCCGGCGGACGGAGGCTCGGGACTTTCTCCCCTGCGCTCCAGCCCTGACATTCCCAACCCTGAGAGCCTGGGGAGTGCATGGTGCCCTCGCACCCCTTCCACCAGGGCTAAAGGTACCTTTATGAAATACTCAGACATGGCTGCCAGTCAGGCCTTCTCCTGGCAAGCACTCCCCCTCGGCCAGGCCGGCTCTGGCCGGAGTCGTCTGCAACCGTGTCTCCCCCCGTTCACCTCCGTGCATTGCTGAACTCTGCCTTGTGGCCCCCACGCCCGCCCCCAGGGGAGCTGTGTGACTGAGCCCTTTGCACCCAGCGCCCCGCGCTGGGCTCCGTGACGCTCACCTGGGTGTTTAGAACCACAGGAGTAGCATTGGCTGGTCTGGGTGACCCCCTCCCCAGTCTGATGCCCACACGAGACACGCCACCCGCCTCCCCTGGGCGTAGGGGCCGTTTGGTGCATGAGTGTTTCTAGCAGAACTGGGGCTGGCCCCACCTTTAAACCCTTCTCTTCCCCTGGACGGGGGGGGATAGAGGCTACTCTTGCGGGGGGGGGTTGCACCGTCTTGGGCCCCATTCTGGGTATAGGCATCTGCAAACTCTGCAGCCCGCAGGACTGACGGCCTCCCGATCACACAGCCTGGTCAGGCACAATATTCAGAAACTGCTCCAGGGTGACTAAACCCAGCAGTGTCTCAAAATCCCCTTCGCTTTGGCCCCCACAGCCCATCAGCTGGTGAGCACGCTCCACGTACGCACAGGCCCTGGGCACTGGAAAGCTCCTAAATGTAACCCGGTGGGATTCAGGGGTAACCCTGAGCCGTCTCAGCGCATAGTCCTTGAACCGCCCGTCGTCTAAGGCTCCTTCCTCCCGCAGGTCATTGAACACCTCCCGGGCCCTGCCAGTCCGCCTGGTCACCAGGACCGGCGTGCTCTGGCCCTCTGGGATCCGGTTCACAGTGCAAAGACGATCAGAGGTGGCCCACAGCTCCCCAGTCTCTTTGTAGATGGGCCCGATCCTTTCCCAGCTCCTGCTGGCCAGTGGGGCTGGGCTCTCAGGTCGCTGTAGCGTTTGCTGCTCCTCGAGGAGTTGGAATTGCTTGGAACTCTCCTCAGCCGGCAGCTCTTCCACTTGCTGTGCCTGGGCCGCTTCCTTTGCCTTTCGCTCCCTGTCAGCATCCGCCTCCTTGGCCTCTCCTCCACTTCGGCATCCGCCTCCCTCCCCCTCGACGCAGGTCAGCCAGGGCCCCCTTGTGTTCCAGCTCCCCTCCCTTCAGTGCCTGCTGCTTCTGACTGCTTCCGCCACAGCATGCGTGGCACTGGGCGAGTGCTGCTCCCTCGCCCGCCGGCCGGTCAGCGTTAGCAACGGTCTCAGCTCTGGCTTAGTAGCTTATTTCTAAAGTCAGGGCCTCTCTCCAACATCCACCTTCCAGAGCCTCTCTGGCCACACTCTCTTGCTGCTGCTGACTCGCTGCAGCGGCTCTTTAACAACCCACATGTAGACAGCGCGGGGTCCTGATCCAAAGCTCAGTTGACCAAGATACGTGGATCCTGCTGACTACGCCACTGTGACGGGTTGGGACGGACCTGGGCACCGCTGAAGGTGTCTGCTCAGGGCCAATTGCTCAAGCCAGGGCTCCCTACAGCCCCAGACCGGGGACCTTCCCAACAGGCCACACACCAGCCACACTGAGCGCGCCAGCTGCCGATCCGGCCAGCAGGAACCTCACGAGCAAAACCCCCCAGACACCCCAGCTCTCCCTGTGCCCCAGTCAGCCCCGGGCCTATCACAGGTGAGGGGCTATAGAACCCGATCTCACCTACCCCCAACGGGTCCTCCCCATCCCAAAGAAGCAGCCCCAGATCCCGGTCAGTTTACACTTTGGATCTTACCCACAAGATGACACTGGGCCCGTCCTTTAGCACCTAAAATCTAAAGGTTTATTAACAAAAGAAAGAAAAGGCGGAGAGTAAGATTGTTAAGGAGAATACGTTACACGCAGGCTCTCAGCAGAGCTGTTCCAAGCTGCCGGCTCCGAAGTCTCTGGTGCGCATCCTACGTCTGGACGGGTCGGCAACCCTCCCGCGCGCTGCCCCGCCAGGCTGCGTCTGGGATCAGCAGTGAGATTGGAGAGAAGCTGGAGTCGGCCGCATGGCGCTTTATATCCATCCCTGGGGTCTCCCACGCTGGAGCGGGTCACATGGCCCAGTGACCTGTCCCTGTGCCACATGCCGGCAGCCATTGTGCCCTGGCTGGGTGCAGGTTTCCAGACGCCGCCCTCAGGTGTGTGTTGGGCCCCCTGAGAGCCGCTGTCCTTGGGGCCCTGCTAATTAGCACAGTCATTGGCTGAACAACCCTCCACACAGGCAGTGCAGGCCCATGGCTCTGTCTCGGGCAGAGACATTTACAGCACAAGCCCAGAGCCCATGTTCATAACCCCACACGCAGATGTCACACAAGCACACGAGTAGCCGACACACAATCAGTAGGACACAAGCTTCCATTTGACACCTCACATGGCCCCTTTGTAACGATTTTGGGGCAGCCCCTCCCCCCCCGTGGGTAGAGCCGCGATCTGTCTGCCCCCCTTAAAATCCAATAACGTGACAATGACAGCAGAGGAGGGTCCTAACGGGGCAGTGTGGCAGGCTGTGGCACCCAAGCATTGGGTGCAGCAGGAGACCACACCAAGGTGCCTGCCTGAAAACATAACAAGTGTGTGGTGGGCAAGGCAGAACTCTGCACCTCAAAATGACAGTGGGTGCACGGGAAGAAGGCCCGTGGGAGTGCAGAGGGAGGGGGCAGACGAGCAGTGCGCTGCACGGGAAGAAGGTCCGTGGGGGTTCAGAGGGAGGGGGCCAGGCACAGACGAGCAGTGCACTGCACAGGAGGAGGCCCGTGGAGGTGCAGAGGGAGGGGGCAGACGAGCAGTGCGCTGCACAGGAGGAGGCCCGTGGGGGTGCAGAGGGAGGGGGCAGACGAGCAGTGCACTGCACAGGAGAAGGCCCGTGGGGGGGCAGAGGGAGGGGGCAGACGAGCAGTGCACTGCACAGGAGGAGGCCCGTGGGGGAGCAGGGGGAGGGGGCAGACGAGCCG